AGAGAGAGAGAGAGAGAGAGAGAGAGAGAGAGAGAGAGTTCTTCTTCTTCCTCTTCTAAGTCCACCATCTCTCCCTCACCCTCTCGCTACCTAACTTTTCAGTATCTGCAGACTACGAGAGCGCGAGAGAGAGATTGGTGACTTTGGGACTTGACGACATTGGGATTCATACTCGACATTTGGATTGAGACATTCGACCAGGGATTTGGTCTGCATTGCAACATTGATTGTTCGGATCATTGGTATATTAGCCTTCCGCTGCGCTATCTTGTACTATGTGAGAGAGGTCGGTTCTTGCTCTGGTCTGTACCATTACGGTATGGGACACTGCCTCCTTTCATAACGTGCAAGTGGGCCGTCAAGGCACACGGGGATGTGGGCAGCTGCCGCTCAATCACAATCAAGGTGGGCAGCTCTGTACATGCAAGGCACGGTAAAAAAGGGAAGCTGTAAGAACAAATGGAAGGGGTACCCCAAGGATAACCAAGAAACTGTAAAATTGCTTAAATGTTGGACTGTCTCAACTCAAGTGCTCTCATGGTCTGCAACAGGACAAAAGCTGCTTTGATTCTGAATGTACTCATCTGGGTGGAATTGGGGCTGTTATGGGGAGAATTTAAAACACACACACATACAGCTTTTTTGGATGGGAATGTTCGTTTGGAGTTATGGCCATGGTATCCCCGCGAGGAGTCTCAGAGAGTCTTTGCTATGGGTGTCACTCCGACGGGCTGCTCTGTTGGAGCACATGGAAGATGGTGGAGCTTCTGTGGTGTTTTAAGCAGTAGTGCTCCTGGTGTTGCCTGGAGATTCTCTGGAGTTCTTTTGTGGTTTGTGGACTGACTCAGAGTGCTTTCCTAATTCTTTTGGACCAATGGGGGCTTGGTCGGTGCTTTCTTGTTGGTAGAGCCTTCTGTGTTGTGGTGCACTGTTAAGCATGTTGCCTTTTGTCCTCCATCGATGTACACACAAATGTTTGGATCTGTGCCTGGTATGTGATTCTCTGGAGCAGGCTGGAGTTGTACGCTTTAGTGGCAGACAGGTGAGTGGGCACTTGGCACTTCCCTCTATTGTTTTTCTTATAGATTGAAAAAACTATATAATATCTGTGCAAGTGTGCCGTTTGGCAGCAGACGAGTGTGAGGGCACTTCCTGCTCAACCACACAAACGTGGGGAACCTTGCATCTTCTATTATATTGCCCACCTAATACACCTATACCTTTCTTTTGTTTTATGGATGGTCTGTGATGGTTTGTAGATGGAAT